TGCAAGGGGTTCCCCTTTCGGGGTCCACTGTTTATTTAAAAGGCAATAAATGCCAGACAAAAAGTTTACACTAACTTTATTAAGTGCAATAGAACTAGGCATTAAAACACAATAAAAGGAAGAAACCAGAATTTCATCATTACTTTCCTTTAAAAAATTAATGTTAAAGTGTGAAGGTGGTGGCAGGGTGTTTATTTAATAAAATAAAGTAAAGGTTAGACTTTTCTTTTTTAACACGCAAATTTAGACGCCTTCGTCAGTGAGACCAATAGTTAACAAAAGAGTAAACGAGAGGAGAGGAACGAGTACAGAGTTCAGACAATGTAAAAACCAAACTAACAGGTATGGGTGGCCACTTGTCACGAAAAAAATGTTATTTAAAAGGTCTATTTAGTTTATTCACGTACATTAGTAAGAGTTTGTAAAACTATTACCTCACAATATTTATTTTTATTACAATAATTACCTCACAATACAAATACAATGGACCCCCGGTTCACGTCATTAATCCGTTCCTGAGAGCTCATCGTAAAGCAAAATTATTGGAAAGCGAATCAATTTTCCCCATAAGAAATAATGGAAATCAAATTAATCCGTGCAAGACACCCAAAAGTATGAAAAAAAAAAAACTTTACCACATGAAATATTAAGTTTAATGCAATAGAATAATTACAATAGCAATAATAAAAATAGAATAAACACAATAGAATAATTGACACTTACCTTTAATAAAGATCTGGTGATGATTGATGGGATGGGAGGAGGGGAGAGTGTTGAAGTTTTTAATGTTTAGAAGGGGAATCCCCCTCCATTAGGACTTGAGGTGGCAAGTCCTTTTCTGGGGTTACTTCCCTTCTTCTTCTAATGCCACTAGGACCAGCTTCAGAGTCACTGGACTTCTGTCACACAACATATCTGTCCATAGAGACCTGTACCTCTCGTTCCTTTATGACTTTTCTAAAGTGGTTCACAACATTGTCAGTGTACAGGTTGCCAACACGGCTTGCAGTAGCTGTGTTAGGGTGATTTTCATCAAAAAAGGTTTGCACTTCAACCCACTTTGCACACATTTCCTTAATCTTTGAAGTGGGCAACTTCCTCACTTTTTCCATCCCCTCCTCCGAAGCAGTTTCCTCAGGTCTGGCCTCTTGCTGTTGAAGATGATCTAGCAGCTCATCAGTGGTTAGTTTGTCATTGTCCTCCTCCACCAACTCTTCCACATCCTCCCCACTAACCTCCAACCCCAAGGACTTTCCCAATGCCACAATGGAATCCTCAACTGGCATAGGGTTAGCTTCAATCCGTTCAAAATCCCTTTTGTCTACACATTCTGGCCACAATTTCTTCCAAGCAGAGTTCAAGGTCCTCTTAGTCACTCCCTCCCAAGCCTTACCTATAAGGTTTACACAATTGAGGATATTAAAGTGATCCTTCCAAAACTCCTTTAGAGTCAATAGAGTTTCTGTGGTCACTTCAAAGCACCTTTCAAACATAGCTTTTGTGTACAGTTTCTTGAAGTTGGAAATGACCTGCTGGTCCATGGGCTGCAGGAGAGGAGTGGTATTAGGAGGCAAAAACTTGACCTTAATGAAGCTCATGTCCCCACAAAGTCGCTCTGACAAGTCTGTAGGATGACCAGGGGCATTAACACCAGGAGGCACTTAAGGTCTAATTTCTTTTCAGTTAGGTAATTTTTCACAGTGGGGGCAAATGCATGGTGTAACCAGTCATAGAAAAAGTCCCTAGTGACCCATGCCTTAGTGTTTGCCCTCCACAGCACACACAAATTAGCCTTGAGGACATTGTTTTTCCTGAACATTCTGGGAGTTTGTGATACACCAATAAAGGCTTCACTTTGCAATCACCACTAGCATTGGCACACATCAACAGAGTAAGCCTGTCTTTCATAGGCTTATGTCCTGGGAGGGCCTTTTCCTCATGAGTAATGTAGGTCCTGCTTGGCAATTTCTTCCAAAACAGGCCTGTTTTGTCACAATTAAACACTTGTTCAAATTTCAATCCTTCAGCCTCTATGTACTCCTTGAATTCCTTCACATATTTTTCAGCCGCTTTGTGGTCTGAACTGGCAGCCTCACCATGCCTAATCACACTATGTATGCCACTACGATTCTTAAATATTTCAAACCAACCTTTGCTGGCCTTAAATTCACTCACATCACCACTAGTTGCAGGCATTTTTCTAATTAAATCCTCATGCAACTGCCTAGCCTTTTCACAAATGATCGCTTGAGAGATGCTATCTCCTGCTATCTGTTTTTCATTTATCCACACCAGTAACAGTCTCTCAAAATTTTCTAACACTTGTGATTGCTGTTTTATATTCACAGTTGCACCTTTTGCAAGAACAGCTTCCTTGATTGCCGTTTTCCTGCTCACTATAGTAGAGATGGTTGATTGGGATTTACTATACAACTTGGCCAGGTCCGACACAGGCACTCCACTTTCATACATTGCAATTATCTCTTTCTTCATTTCAATAGTCATTAGCACCCTTGGTCTCGAAGGGTTGGCACTAGAAGCTTTCTTGGGGCCCATGGTGACTTATTTTGCAGAAACAAACACCAGAAACAGTGATAATGTGGATAACATGGAATGTACCGAATGTATCCTTAGATGCGCGCACACTGGCTGGCTTGTAAACACTGGCACACACGGGGCAGTTCAGGCCACATGTGGACACGTTTCGTACGAATCGTGTCGTGTACCGGGTTTTGTTACGGGAACCGGGGCAAATTTTTTGCGATATAACGCTTCGGATACCGGATTTATCGGTTACCGGTGACTTCGCGAACTGGGGGACCACTGTACTCTTACATTGTATAAAGTTGTATAAGTTAGTACAGAATAAACAAACAACAATGGTCTCATTCTCATGCAACTCACCATTTTTAGAGTGAATGATGATATTATTATTATCATCATCATAAAAAAAGAAGCCCTAAACCCACAAGGGTCGTGAATTGCTATATATAGATTGAAGGCATGCGAAAGGAATATTTTTTCTACAGTTATCCCCCAGTGTTTGACTAGAGAAAATGTAATTCCTCCGACACTCCTACAAAGCCGCTTTGTAAACAAATCTCATATTTATGTCAATTTTTATTCTGTGGGTGTATGTATCATGTTTATATGCTATGTAACGTGTTTCTTATATAATTTTGAAGAAAATATCATTGATGGATTAATGAAAATGTCTGTATTAACATAAAATAAGGCATTTAATGTGCCCAAGATTGATTGTTATTATGTAGTATTACTACTACTGCGTCATGAGAAGAGAGACTCTTAGTGATTTTAATGTGTGCCTACATGCCAGCATGGTGTGTAAGTATATTTAGGTACAAGTGCACATAAGTATAATTATCAGAGTACATATAAAATATGCAGTAACTTTAAAACAATTGAAATTTTGGAAATTTTCCTGACATAATAAATGTGGTCACGGAGAATGTAAGCAAACCAGGTGGGGCACGCCATACTTGAAAGACCACCCGCCATATAGCAAATTTTGGTCATAATTTGAAATCGCCGTATTAGCGGAATGCCGTAAGGTGAAACGCTGTAAAGCGGGGCCCTCCTGTAATATGCTTTAATCACTTTATAGAAATATAGTTTTAGTTTTGCATTTATTGTACTTTTAGGAATGAATAATACAGTGACATAACTTGCATTGAAAATTGTACTTGTAGGATTGTAGAATACAAGAGTGCCTTGTTTATATGCTTCTTGGGTTCCTGACCAAGTATTGTAAACAAAAAATCGCCAGTGGGCAGGAAAGGGCGCTTAGTTTTTCATTATTGAATGCTTCTAAAATGCCAGATAATATGTTTATACCTTCATATATTAAGTGCTTAATACAGCTAGACATAAAAAACAAATGAAGTAAAATAATAACATAGTACATACAGCAATACCTTCCATAGTATGGTTAATGCATGTCAAAAACTTTCTGTACTATGCAATACCATACTAATCAAGGTATTATTATAATGTGTTTTAATGTATGGCATTCCAACAATATGATTAAATGTATCAGATCACAAAAATATTTAACCAGTTGCTTAAAACTCTTGCACACACTTGTAAATAAAGAAATCACACAAATGAAAAAATAGTAATTCAAGTAATTTAGACTTTTATTACAGTTGTATATAAACAGTGTATCATAAATACAGTAAAGATAAAGGTAATTTTAATTTTGAAAAATATTTGAACATTGTAGTTTGCACAGTTTTTTCTTTCTGTCAAAGTACATATCTTTATAGCATTGAATATTATTTTGTAACACCTGCCTAAGTCTAATGCTTCATTCAGTGTTTGGATTCACATTCATTATGAAGTCACAAGCATCTTCTACTTTTGCAGTTAATTTAGGTATTTCATCCAGTGTGAATTCTTTCATGGGCAGTACAAATGTACTCGTAATAACCCTTTGAGGGTCGGAACACCTGCTCTCAAACTTGCTCTTAGGGTTGGAAAATTAAAAAAAAAATTAGTTTTTCTTATGAAATGGTAGAGAATCTTTTTCTAAAAATAATAAAACAGAAAGTACGAAATTTGATGGAAAACTGATGAAATTACACTTTTGCGAATTTTGCTGCACCAGCGATATTTATGCATTGGCGATTTTGCCCACTTTGGGTCCAATTTTATGTCAATTATACATTGTTCCATTTGACCAAATTCATAAGTATTTCACTAGTATGTCTTCCATTCTTTCAACTGGAGTGTAGTGTACACAGTTTACAGGTATACTGGAATGAAGTTAAACTACAATTTAACCAGTGAATTTTGCAGTAATTTTAAAAGTTCATTATATTGAGGTGCCTTATATTGAGGGTTTACTGTATTTCAATAAAGGATTGACCCTATAAACTATGACCAGTTTCCTTTGTAAAATAAACCTGCCCAATGTATCTAACATTAGTGATAGCAGAAATAGATTTACAAAAAGGTCTCATTCAACTTTTCTTTTACAGTTGGTGTTTACAGTGTCAGTACTGTAGGAAACATATCATGCTGACACCCAATGTCAGTACACTGAAGAAAATGGCAAAAGTTCTGAGATCTACTACTCTCAGCAGTAAGTTTGATGAAGCACCTACACTGTGTGAAGTACTGAGTACAACTACTACTGTCAGCAGCACATTGAATGAATACTACACCGTGTGAAGTACTGAGTACAACTACTGTCAGCACTGTTTCAATACTATTGACTATTTGTGTGTGTGCTCCAGTTGTCAGTATTTGACTGTATTGTTTGGAAAGTCTCCTAATTTCTAACTTTCCCATGGAATTAAGGTAAAATATTGTACAATTCACACATTATATCTCACGTTTAATTCTGTAAGAGTCCATTCAAAGGAATCCTAATTCATGACTGTTTTAAGTAACTATTTTTATATTCTTTCCTTTTATGAGACTATTATGGTAGTCATAGTTTAACACCTTCTGGGAAAATATTGGTCATAATCTTACCCCTACTGTGAAAATATTAGTCATAGTCTTTCCACTAACTGCTTTCAAAAACCTGAGTATTTGTTATTTTATTTTATTTCCTACAAATATTCCTGACATATTGTTGTGATGTCTGATTTGTTTTGTAGTAAAATACAAGTGAAGACACTTCATAAATCAAGTTAAATATTTTTTATGTCGATAATCATGAAAAAGAGAACTTTAACAAGAAACAATTTGTAGATATAAACTTTACCAATTACAATAAATTTATCAATTTATTATAAAAATTTAATCATTGCAGTCATTCTATGTATAATGATATAAAAAGTAAATGTATATAAATGAACTTAATGTGTGATGAAATAAGATTTGTATTTTGTTAATGGAATGTTTAAAGTTACATGAACTTCCCCAGCACCCACTTAAACAACTTACACTACCTATGCTAAGACCCACTTAAAACAACTTACACAACCTACACTAACACCCATTTAAACAATGTGCCCCAGCATCCACTTACACAACTTACATTACCTGCACCAGCACCCACTTGAGCAACTTACACATCCTACACTAGCGCCGATTTAAACAACTTACACTAGCACTCACTTAAGCAACTTACACTACCTACACCAGCATCTATTTAAGCAACTTACACTACCTACACCAGCACCCACTTAAGCAACTTACATTACCTACACCAGCACCCACTTTAGCAACTTATACTACCTACACCAGCACCTACATAAACATAACTCCTCTATCAGAACAATAGACAATTTTAAAACACTTTCTTAATGTCTATTTCAGTTTTTGTACTGAGTAATTTTCAACTTTTTAGTTAAGCAGAAGAGAGCTCACATATTACTGAATTCTAATATATTATTCATTAAAATTTAAGAAAAAATGCATTGTAGTATTTAATAGTGGATACAAATTTTGTGACTTATTTTTTCACATTAATTTGTATTGGTTACAAAAGTTCACATGAAAATAATTTCCAATCAGTTGTCAGTATTTCTTTTTTTTTTCCTTTTTAGAAAGGTTTCATTACTAACTATTATATGTAAGATAATAGAAAGTACAGAATGTGAGTCCAGTAAGTCTATTGTTATGTAAAGTATAATTGAGTCTGTTATGTGAAATAGTGTGTAACATACAAGTAGTGTAATAATGTTGGTAGAATTACCGGCAATATGTAAAGTAAAAGGACACAAGTACAAAGCCTGACAAAGCTCCTGGAGAGTGAAACATTGCCACAATAAAATGTCACATTAGTTGCACTTGTGTCCTTTTACTTTACATACAAGTAGTGATTTATTTAGTGTTAAAAACTTTGTAATAAATAAAGGCAACATGAAGGTAGTAAAGAAACTCCATCAGTGTCCTGTTTGTGAAAAAGTATTTCCATCTAATTCTAAACTGATCAGACATAGCAGTGCTCATTCAGGAGAGAAGCCATATCATTGTTCAATGTGTCTGGAATACTTTAGTGATAAATACACACTAAGAAAACATCAGAGGATTCATTCAGGAGAGAGGCCATATCATTGTTCAGTGTGTCTAAAAGACTTTTCTGATAATTCTTCCCTAAAAGTTCATCAGAGAGTTCATACAGGAGAGAAGCCATATCAGTGCTCAGTGTGTCTGAAAAGCTTTGGTGATCATACCTCAATAATTCAACATGAGAGAGTTCATACAGGAGAGAAGCCATTTAAGTGTTCAGTGTGTCATAAAGACTTTAGACAAAGGGGTCACCTGAAATCACATATGAGAACTCATACAGGAGAGAAGCCATATCAGTGCTCAGTGTGTACAAAATTATTTAATGGAAGAAGTGCGCTGGTAAAACATATGCGTTATCATACAGGAGAGAGGCCATATCAGTGCTCAGTGTGTCTGAAAGACTTTATACAAAGTGATCACCTGAAATCACATATGAGAACTCATACGGGAGAGAAGCCATATCAGTGCTCAGTGTGTACAAAGTTATTTAAAGGAAGAAGTGCGCTGGTAAATCACATGCGCTCTCATACAGGAGAGAGGCCATATCAGTGTTCAGTGTGTACAAAACAATTTTCAATAAGATGTTCTCTAGTGAAACACATGAAGACTCACACGAAAGAAAAAACACACGAATATCCAGAGTGTCAGAAAGTTCTTTCAAGTGACTCTCTTTTAGTTAAGCACATGACACTTCATAAAGAACATAAACCATACAAGTGTTCAAAGTGCCAGAAAAGCTTCTCAGCAGAAAAAAGTTTAGTCAGACATTTAAAAAGTCATACAAGAGGAACACCATACAAGTGTTCAGAGTGTCAGAAAGGCTTTTCAAGTCAAGAAAATTTATTACTGCATAAAAAAAATCATGAGGGGGAGAAACCATATAGTTGCTCACTGTGCTTGCAAAACTTTACACAAAAATTAGAAATGGAAAATCACTTGAGATGTCACAGCATAGAACAAACATATCAGTGTTCAAGGTGTCTGGAAAGTTTTTCCCATAAAACTAACCTAGTAAATCATATGATAGCTCATATATAAGAGAGAATGTGTAGCAGTGTGAAGCATTTTAAAAACTTTTTAAGGAAATCTTTTCTGTAAAACATCATATGACTCTGGTCACTTTATCAGGAAAATCCAAGTGAAATTGATGCTCTTTATTAGAAATAAAACACTTAAAAGTAAAGTTAATTTATTCCTACCTGTCTTGTGCACTTAACTTTGTTGCATGTCTTTAGTGACTCCTTACCCACTACCACCAGAACTTGGTTGTTGAATTAATTCATTCCAGATGTCGATTTGACAACTAAAATTGATGACAACTTAAGTCATTTTTCCCATAAAGAGTAATGGAAATAGAATTAATCCATTCCAGACCAAAAAATGACACTATATTACAGTAGTACCTCGGTCCTCAAAGTTAATTCATTCCAGAAGGCTGTTCGAGCGCCGATCTGTTCAAGTTCCAAATGAATTTTTCCTATAAGGAATAATGTAATGGTTGGCTGTTATCACCATTCTCTTAGGCCCCATGGTGACTTGTTTATATAAATAATATTAAAAAATCACCAAAAAATGCGAAGAAACACGAAATGGTTTACAACAAAGTTCTGGCAGGTCGTGTATGTTTTGTCTAGTGCCAAGCAAACGGTTGACTACTGAGCGATTTTTTACTGAACAAAGTGTGTGAATACCGAATTGTTCAACTTGGGAGCTGTTTGAGTACTGAGGTACTACTGTAACTTATTAAAAAATGTTCTAACTTCTCCATAAAACTCTAAAATTGAATACTAAATGAAACTAACTGAAATACTGTACAATAAATGAAAATTTAACTGCCTCTTACCTGTCAGAGGAGAGCTAATGGCATACTGGATGCAAGGGGTGGAGGAGAGAATGGGGGATGTTATTGCATGGAAGGAGTCACCTTCTTTTAAGCTTTTCAGGGTCCGTGCTGTAGTTCTACTTCATTGAAGCCAGGGGTCCATGACATAGTACTATGCAATGAGCTCAGCTCACTCAGATAAGCTGTGAGTGGTGAATTTGGGACTAAATACAGCCTCTCCTCACTTAACGATGGAGTTCTGTTCCTAAGACCATGCCGTTAAACGAATTCATTGCTAAGTGAGGAGCATACTGTAATGGTAGTGGGTTTATGTCAACCATCTTTGATATTGTTTTAATGTCACCTTTGCACCATATATAACATTTCTGGTATATTTTTAAATGTTTATACAGTAATGTACTGTATATTGAAATAAACAGAATAGAGGAAATCAGCTCTAATATACATTATTTGGATATAAATACTGGTCACAGAACCCGTCGTAAATCCGAGGCATCTGTAAACAAGCAAGTACGTCACTAAGTGAGGAGAGGCTGTTTGATAGAATGGGTCGATGCAGTAAGTGTGCACCATATAAAATTAATCTTGCAGCACACAGTGCATAATGAGGAAAAAATAACTGCGACAGTGTTTTTTATTTAAAATAGCAAATTTGTGGTGTATTTTGGTATGGTTTTTATAGTTGTATTATCGGTTTCTTGGTCTAATTTGATAGAATGGAAGATGCGTTACAAAAATAGAGATGTTCTGAGGACCCTAAATAGCTTAAAATTGAGCTCAAAATAGCAAAAATGTTCGATTTTTGCCTATGTTCAAGAGTAAACAAATCACGACACACATCCAATACACAACTCGTGGGTCTGATATGCGTTCATTTCATGAAAAAATAACAAAATTTTTCTTGAAACATCGTGGACTCTGTGGACAAGTTTCAAATTGGGCGTCTGGACCATGAAATGGTTAATATTAACCCTGAAGGCCATGGGCATTATGGGGAAGGTAGGCAGATAGATTGTCAGATTCCTAGCACACACAACACAAAAAGTAATAGTAAACAGGGCAAGATCCAGCATCAGCGAGGTCATAAGCTCAGTGCCCCAAGGCACTGTCCTGGCACCTCTGCTGTTTCTCATTCTCATAGCAGACATAAATAAAAACACCCGGCACACTTTTTTATCATCATTTGCAGATGACACTAAAATAAGCATAAAAGTCACTATGGTAGAGGACAATGAAAGAGTACAGGAAGACATAAACAGGGTTTTCCAGTGGGCAGTGGAGAGCAACGTGATGCTCAATGATGATAAGCTCCAGCTGCTTAGATATGGAAAGAATGAAGAATTCAAAAGGAAGACTATATACAAAACTCAAGAGGGTCACCAAATAGAATGTAAGGAACTTGTAAAAGACCTGGGAATAATTATGTCAGCTGACTTTTTAAGACCATAACAAGACAAAGATCATGACAGCCAGGAAGATGATGGGGTGGGTATTGAAACCTTTCAAAACAAGGGAAATAAGTGCTCCCTCACTTAGAATATTGCTCAGTGCTGATGGCTCTATTCAAAGCAGGAGAAATATCGGATCTGAAACAAAACCAGAGCGTGTTTATGGCTCACATTGAGCCAGTAAAGCACATAAACTACTGGGAATGCCTAAAAGTCTTGGACATGTACTCACTGGAGCAGAGGAGAGAGAGATATGTGATAATACTTAGAAAGTACTCGAGGGCCTGGTCCTAAATCTGTACACTGCCATAACAACATACTGGAGTGAGAGATATAGGAAGAAGTGTAAAATAATCCCAGTGAGGAGCAGGGGTGCGGTGGGGACAATAAGGGAACACTGTATTGTCATCCGGGGTCCCAGACTATTCAACATCTTACCAGAAGATTCAGAAACACGGCTGGAACAAATGTAGAATTCTTCAAGAGGAAACTAGACAAGTATCTTCACCAGGTTCCAGATCAACCAGGCTGTGATGGATATGTTGGGCAGCAGGCCTCCAGCAGCAACAGCTTGGTTGACCAGGCAAGCACCAGACGAGCCTGGCCCATGGCTGGGCTTAGAGAGTAGATAAACTTTCGAAACTTCAAAGGTATATATCAAAGGTAGAGTGCCGAGACCCCTGCTCGCAAACTTGCTAATAGGGTCAAAGAATTTAAAAAAAAAAAAAAATATTTTTCTAATGAAATGATAGAGAATCTTTTTCCAAAAGGTAATTACACCAAAAGTTTAAAATTTCATTGAAAACATACAGAATTACACTCTCACAAAGTTAGCGGTCTCAGTGATATTTACTCATCAGCAATTTCGCTCACTTTGAGCCCTATTTTGTGCCAATTCCTTTGTTATATTCAACCAAACTCATAGCTGTTTTGCTAGAACTCCTTTTACTATATCGATTGCATACAAGAAATTGCCAATTTACTTATTTCAACTTCCCCAAAAAGTGATCAGAAATTACTAATTTGGCCAATTTCACACAAAATTCAAGAAAGGCCAATTTCAAAATAAGGGCCAGAATAAACACTGCAGACATTCCTGGCACTAAAATAACATTTTCTCTATTCATTAGTCATGTCTGCAGGCCACTCTTATATTATGCTTGCTTTTCATTTTGAATCAGCGCTGTATAGCCCTGTGGCTTAGCGCTTCTTTTTGATTATAATAATAATTTTCATTTTGAATTTTTATTCAAAAAATAGAATATTTACTGTTATTCATTTTTTTTTTTTTTTTCAACAAGTCGGCCGTCTCCCACCGAGGCAGGGTGACCCAAAAAAGAAAGAAAATCCCCAAAAAGAAAATACTTTCATCATCATTCAACACTTTCACCACACTCGCACATTATCACTGTTTTTGCAGAGGTGCTCAGAATACAACAGTCTAGAAGCATACATATATAAAGATACACAACATATCCCTCCAAACTGCCAATATCCCAAACCCCTCCTTTAAAGTGCAGGCATTGTACTTCCCATTTCCAGGACTCAAGTCCGATTATGTGAAAATAACCGGTTTCCCTGAATCCCTTCACTAAATATTACCCCGATCAAAAGTTTGTTGGCCCTTATCGAGTTGTAGAACATATCTCTGGCAATAAGTATAAGGTTAGAGAAATTAGTACTGGTAAGTACAAAGAATCGCATTTAGATCATATGAAATTAGTATGTGATGTTGATGATATTGCTACCCAGACTAATGTGACAGATGCTGAAAATCCTCTTGAATCTGTACCCTCTACCTCAAATACTCAGTCAGATATTCAACCTGAATGTCGTTACTCCTTGCGTACTCGACAAGTAATGAGAAACCCACAAGTATCTTTTGTAGATACTCGTTCAGATCTCCCTCAGTCAAGGCATGTGTTAGCCATTGCAGAGGAACTCGATCCTCCCAGAGATGATAACCATTCTGCATATGTAAACCTCACCCTCGCAGAATTGGGTTTAAATGTAAAGAGTCTGTATAACTAGTTATCCAAGATGAAGGAAATTGTCAACTGTTTGTTATTAACTGATTAGTTTTTCAGATTTTTTTTTTTCTTGTTCACATTCCCTCCGTATTCTGAGAATCTGACAGTATTGATCTGAGTGCACACCAGATGCCTTTGCTGTTAATTTCACCTTGTATATATATATATTTATTTCCTCAGAATCCGTAGAGTGCATGAATACAGATCGATCGATCAATTCCATCCATATTGTACCATGATTTGTTCTTATAGTTTGTAATGCATTACGTAAAACTCATTTTGTTAACATCCATTATGATACCATCCATTAGTTCTAAGTTATATATGAATTTGTTATTGTATAGAATCAGTCCAGAACCACCTGCCTGTTCAGCCTATTGCATAGTAGTGTATGTCGAGACGACATACGTAACATGACCGAGCTGTCAGCATAGTTGCTGATCCTCCTTTACATGTGTTGTATGCATAGATTAGATGAGCATTATAGTACCATCCATGTGTTTATGTAGAAGATCCCTTAGGCCTGTGACTGTATGACATCACGGGATGCAGCGAGCGAGTGAGACGAGCTACCTCGGCCTCAGTCGATGCATAGGCATAGTAGAAGGCAGGACACAACAGGTTGGGCTCCATCTCCCATTACCACAGTCTGACAATATATATCGTTACCATCCAACAAGTGTGTCTACCTTCAACCCTCTTATCTCCTTACTGAACCCCACACGACACTTCCCTCTCTTCTTGTGGGGTGACAGGTCGCTGTGGAGTGACAGGTATAGGTGTGGCACAGTACTTTTTCGCTATCTGCTTGATGACATTGAGGGTGAATTCTGCATATCGTTGTCGCTTCCCTGTCTTTATT